TTAGGGATGGGCACAAACTGGGAAAATGTGGCTTGGTTTGCGGTTCGTGCTGTGCCCAGTTCACGAACCATGAACCATCATGAACTTTTAGCTGCCAAACAAACTGGTTCAGTGTGTGAGGTTTGTGGTGCAATAGAACAGCCTTCCCAGTATGCTATAGTCACCAAAATCATAGGGGATCTCCAGCGGACTCTCCTCTACCTGCCATCCAACTTTGGTGAGGATTGGATTTACATGAACCAAGTTATGCCCCTCCTCCAAAGAAGATATCCTCAGGAAAGTCCTTTCTGGGGAAATGATGGGTAGCCATTTTGACTTGTGCAGGCTCAAGAGTGTATGGAATGGACCCTGTGCAAGCTGGAGACATCAAATTCACAGGAAACCTTCCCCAATGCCCTTCCACATGCCCTCCAAGTTATGTGTGGATTGGACTAAGGGGTTCCAACTTATGGCCCCTCAAATAAGATGCCCCCAGGAAAGTGCTTTTTGGGGAAATGCCAGGCACAGGTTCAAAAGTGGAAGCTACACACATCAGACACAGATTTCCACCCCTCCGTTGAAGTTGCTTTGTTGCTTTGAAGTCTGGTAAACATTTTGTTTGAATGGAGACAGTCTGTCTGGAAATGTATCCATTCATGAAATGCCATGAACTGCCACCAACTGCTTGAAAATTCATGAAAAGTTTGTGCCAGTTGACCTACCACAAACTTCAGCTTGTGAACCACAAAACAGCCAAAATTCATCATGAACTTTGGTTTGTGATCTGGTTCGTGCCCATTCCTAGTCCAAATTTCTGATATACTTTTCTTCCAAGCAGTTTGAAGTTATATGTGCCTTTGGGAGGAAGAGGGAGAGGAGCTGAAGATTATTGTGAAGAATGCAGGAATTTTTTTTTCTTGTGAGCATGTTATGACATCACATCATTTCAATCAATACTAGCTCATAGGTACACCTAAATTGTGCCCTCTGTTCAGATGTAAGAGGGAATGAACATCTGAGAACATCAAGTGGTTAAATAGTTCCTTTTGGATCTTGCCAAACAATATCAGTCATCTTGTGTCAAGGAAAAAATGATGTTTAATCTTTACAGAAATGAATTACTTCATATGGGACAGCTACATTTTGTCTGATACTTGTTGTCAGCTTTCATTGGAAGATGAGGAACTTACAAATTAGATTTCATCAAAATCTGAGATGGGCCAAAGTGAAATCTTAGAAATTAAAACAAGTTCTGCCTGTGAAAAGAATTGCCGGGGAAGGGGGGGTAATGTTAACATATCTGAATGAAGCTCTGATATTGAAGGCACATCACCTGAATTTTTTTTTAACATTTCTATAGAATTCAAATAATCTGTTTGTTTGGAAACCAGATGGCATTATCATTCTTGAATAATGTAAAGAGAATAATACAAAATCAGTCACCAGAAAGCATGCAACACAGTCAGGAAGCTATCTCAGATTCAAGAAGTTTGAAGGGTTCATTGGGCAGAACACAAAAATTAAGCTTTCCTCTAACTGCATTTCCCAGTCCATGGGAAAACTCTAGGGACGACAGATTAAGGAATGTAGAAATGAGCATAGCACCAAAGCTGCAACTACTACCAATCATTTTCATCTGGGGCTATCCCTAATCTAGTGCCCTGGATTGGGAAGACTATAGGATGGGAAGGATGAGTAAGAAAATCAATGGCATGTTGTTGCTGGAGAACACATGATGGGTTGGCGCTGTATCTAGTAAAATAGTATTGAAATATATATGCTAACTCTTTTCTGGATTTGGATATTTATTTGGTAGTAAAATCTGACTAAGGATTTCTTGCCTAGCTTTCCGAACTGTGCTCTTAAGTACCACATGGATGTGATGAACAATATGAATCTCCATCTGTAAAAGGAGAACTGGAATCATGAATAACCCCAATTCTCATAAGGACTATGTGGGAAGGGGAGGGGGGGTTAAACACTTCAGCTCCTGGTTTGTTCTGCTGTATTTCACTGTAAAGGGGGGAAATAATCTTCATATCATCTGGGTTTTTTTTGCTCTTACTGTCATTTGAGAGTGTTAGTCACCACAGGTCAGCTGGCCTGGTTTCACCTGTTAGCATTCAGACATCATTCTAAAACAGTTCTCTATGTAAAGGTTCTGAAGAATGGTCAGTAGATCTGGTGGTAATGATCTAAGGAGATCTTCAGGAGTCTCAGTAATTTCTGTCCACCCAAGCAACAAATGGATAATGAATCACAACATGACTTAACTATATGCCATTTCATGCCCTTGGCAAATCCTGCAGAATTCGGTGAATGCACAAAGGCTTCATCTTTGTGTGATGTTCCCCTTTCCTTCCACTGATGAGCTTTTTTTTACTGTCATAGAGAGACCATGTGATGAAACACAGATGGTTTTTGTATGCTAGCTGCTATCATTGTGTGTACGTACCACAGCAGTTTGAAACCATAAAGGCCCAATCTGCATCTAGCATTTGCTCCACTGTTAGACCAAACCCACACTGGAACAGAAATTCCCATCTACATTGCATGCCACTTTCACTTTGGGTGTCACATTTTATGGCAGTGTCCAGACTGCATGCCACTTTCACTTTGTTTGATCTCTGGTTTTATGGTTGCTGTCTGCACAGGTTTATGGCCGTTTTATGGCCATTCGGGGGTGAAGCTGCAGTCAGTACAGTGTTGGCCTGGGGTAGTTGAATGTGGTTTTGAACTCCATCTTTTTCTGTTCCAGTGTGGGTTTGGTAAAAAACTGAGCAAATGCTAAATGCAGACTGGGCCATGGACGGAACATCAGATTCTATTCATATATCAAAGCTTTGGAATGAGTTTCATGACTGATGAGAAAATCTGCACAAAGGGGAGCTGACATGCCAGATTTGACTAAGGATTGCGATATTTTTTCTTACAGTAGCAGTTTTATTTTTATTTTTGTTTAATTCTGTTCTCATTCTTTTTCAGGAACAAGGTTAATGCTCTGCTTCCAGATTTTGAGCTTGTACAGGGTTTTATACCACATACATTCAAATTTATAATAGGAAGTAGGACCATAATCCCACAAGAGCTTTTATAAAGGAGTCTCTCTGAAGCCTCAGCTATGCATGGATTGCCGGTGTTTGGTCAAGGATTGTGTTCTTCAAGTATCCTCTTTTTAAAGCTCAATAATGGCTGTACTTTGGTTATCAGTTTTGTTCCTTCCTTGCTTGAGGGTCAGGCATGGGTCAGGTCCTTAGTATTATTTGTGTAGCAGTGAAATCGAACACTGAATAGAAAGAGGAAAATTGCAATAAATGTCACTGCTTTAGCTACTGGGAAGGGTGAGCGGGGGAGAGAGTATAAAGAAACACATTACATATATTGAATTTTTCAGGACTGTGTTGTCCTTGAATGCTTGTCAACATATTTTTGATATTCCTGTTTTGTTTTTGCTGGACTCCTTTGTTTTTTTGTTTTGCTTCAGTAATGAAAGCAAATTATGCACTGCAAAAAATTCTAGATGTTTTCCTTTTACAAACTTTAGTGTCTTTCTGGCTCTTTTATATTTATAGAACATTTAATATGAATACTGTTCAGAAATGTGCTTCTGGGTTGGTATTTCCATAGCTGCTTCATATTTTACCTTTTTTCTAGACAATGAAGTGCTGACAAGAACAAACCCCAAAACAAGTCCTGTGGCTTTATTGTGATCTGTGTGAGCCAAAACCAGTTGGGTCACTATTCCTACTTCTTGCAACAGCAAATCATGATTGTTGTATATTGGTAAGAGTGTCAGAGAAAGACCTGGGAGAACCAGGTTCAAGTCCCCACTCTGCTATGGAAGCTTGCTAGGTGACCTTGAATTCATCACACACTCTCAGCCTAACCTACCATTGTAAGAATGAGGAGTGGGGGGAAATGATGTGATAAACTGCTTTTGGTCCTCATTGGGGAGAAAAAATGTGGTATATTTTCTTAAATTTCCAGTGAAAGCCAACTCTGCTAATAGTTTATTTTACCTGTAAATAACTTGATAGCCTTGTGGATAACATTTCTGTGTTCAAAAGAGATTGAGGGCAAGTATTTACCCTGTGAATAATGTTATCGCTTAAGAGACTCTGCTTCCATTTGGTGAGTCACCACAGGCCATTTCCTCTGATCACTTCTGGAAAATGACTGCCGAAGTGGCAATAGTTGGAGGCAATGATCTGTAATGATCATAGTATGATGACTCATACTAGTAGGTTGAACTCATCTCTTGGAGACTCAGATTGTTTGCAAAAAGTTAAGCAAAAGCCTCACTATCCCCCCCCCTCCAAAGGAGCATGTCCTCTTGAAGAACGTTTTAAATTTTCCAAGTGCAATATTAGGTAACAGAACCAAATATAACTTCTGCTGTGCTGAGACAATGTTTTACTAGCATCATGATTCACTCTGGCTTGCTGGAAAGACCTATATTACTCCTTCAGCTACTGCCCAATGAGAATGGTACACTTATCTGTTTACATCCTTTTTGGGTGGGGGATGCGAAGGAATTTCTCATGTTTGCCAGTTTGAATGAATGAATAAATGAATGAATGAATGAATGATCTTTATTTACAGTCAAAGACCATTTGTCGTTGTCGTCATTGTCACAACCTTTATTGCCATATATTGACCATTTTTCAAAATAATATATATTCATTAGATACAAACAGATTAACTTAAAAGCTAGTCATGAAGAATGGCCCTGCATGCCTCTGGTGCCCGTCACCTCGCCTGTTAGAAATACACTCACTAAACTCCACTGTATCCACCTAAGCTCGTAACGTGTGAAGGCTTCACCCGGCCGGGGTGTGGGCGGGGAGTTAGGCGAGCCGGCTGGAGAGAAGGAGCCCCCTTGACGCCCCAGCCTGGCAAGGCGGCGGCGAGCGTGCCTCTCCCAGCGCTGGAAGGCAACCATTGCCATGGCGACTTGAGGCGAGGCTATAAAGCGGCTCCGGGGAGTCGCAGCCGTCCGGAGTCGCCGCCGGGGTCCGGCCATGCTGAAGCCGCGGGACCTCGGTCCGGGGGCGGCCACGCGGACCTTCCTGGAGGCGATGCGGGCGGGCCGGCTGCACCTGGGCCGCTTCGTGCTGGACGCCCTGGACGGGAGCATCGTGGACTGCCGGGCGGAGCGGGGCCGCACGCCGCTCATGTTCGCCGTGGCACTGCAGGACCCGGCGTGGCGCTTGGCCTTCGCGCGGATGCTGCTGGAGCGCGGCGCCGCCGTCAATCTGCGCGACGACGCCGGGCGCAGCGCCCTCAGCCTGGCCTGCGAGCGCGGCCACCTGGACGCCACCCAGCTGCTGGTGCAGTTCGGCGCCGACCCGGACGCCGTGGACGCGCGAGGCTGGAGCCCGCTCATGTACGCCGCCTCGGCCGGCCGCACCGCCGTGGTCGAGTGGCTCCTGCGCGCCTTCCGACGCCTCGGGCAGCTGTGCCTGGAGCGCGCCGAGCCTCTCACGATGCACCCTGGCTTGCTGGAAAGACCTATATTACTCCTTCAGCTACTGCCTAGTGAGAAGGGTACACTTATATGTTTACATTCTTTTTGGGTGGAGGATGCAAAGGAATTTATCATGTTTGCCAGTTTGACTTAATGTTTTGAGTGGGCTGTTTAATAATGACAAAAGATATTACAGCTGCTGAACATATTTGACTTTAAGACTTGAACAGAAACATCTATGGGATTAAGTAACTTTTTACTAACATAAACCTCTGGTCCAGGCCCGTAGCCTGCATGGGGCCCACGCGGTGGGCACGGCCAGTGCGTGCGGGCGCTGCGAGCCGCCGGCGCCTTGATCCACATCCTGCCGGAGGAGCCGGTCCTCAGCACTGCAGCCGGCGCCACTTCCTCGGTGCACGTGGCGGGTGGCTGACGGCGCTCAGAGGAGGAGGCCGAGGCGACGCAGCGGCGGCGGCTGCCCCAGGATTCGGCGCCGAGCAAGCCGCCCTCAGAAGTGGGCCAGGGAGCCCAGTCCCTCAGAGGCCGCCCGCTGGTCCGCAGAGCCACAGCGCCTGACTGCCAGAGCCTCCTGGGCTGCTAGGTGCCTTGATATAAATCTAATTTTTGCCTGTAGCTGGAGAACAACAACAAAAAAGCTCTTGCGCTGCTGCAGGTCTTTCGAGGCAAACTGCTCCTTCAGTATACACAGATTTTAAATAGCCAGAGTGCGAGCCAGCTGTGGGCGGAGCTAGCAGTCACATGTCCAGTATTGAACCAATGCAAAATGTTCCTCCCTTCAGAGAGAGAGAGAACCTGGGATTTTGAATCTGAGCGCGCGCAGGAGATTTGACCTCGGCTCTATAGTAAAACACGAGTGGAGAAACAGCAAGAGGCATCAGGTGATTTCCCGCTTTCTCTTTTAAGGTTTTCTGAATGAAATACGAACGCTGAATCTGTGCCTCTGACTGCAAGGTAATTCTCTTTATCTTTTACCTTTGGAAGAAAAAGCCAACTCGGTTTTTAAACCTCAAGATGAACTGATTTCGGGCGGGGAGTTTATCGGAGGAAAGCAGGGGGGGGCGTTGCTCTGTGGAAGAGAGAAGAAGGGGATGAGAGATGGGTGTGGGTGTCGTTTGGTAAGGACTCTTAAGCACTGTTCCCTCTAAGCTGAATAAGTGTGAGCTAGCTCACAGTTTTTTAGCCTCCGGCTCACACATTTCTGTCTTAGCTCAGGACGATGGCTCCAGAGCAAACTCATTGATGCAGCAGCCCAATCGCTGGCTAACCACTTGAGTGCCGGCAGCTCACCAAGTAGGATTTTTGTTCACAAGACTCCACAGCTTAGAGGGAGCACTGCTCTTAAGTACTGGGGGCTTCCTCTTTTGGAGCCTGTGCTTTGTTTCCTGTGCTTCCCCGAACAGAAGCAACGGTAGGATCGTATCACACACGTGTTTAGGCTGGGGGGAGGGCGAGTACAATGGAGACTGCTTGAAGTGCAACTGCTTCCTGTCCCTGGGGAAGCTGCTCCCTTCTTCTCTGACAACTCTGAGCAGCAGAAATCCAACTGTCTGTGTGGCGCTTTGCTTGCCCCGTGGCCATGTGATGCGTTAGAGACCTGTTGCTGCATGGAGGAGCAGACCAGGAAGTGAAAACGGCTCTGGAGCTAGTCACGCCGAGCAGCCCCTGCTGTGCTCCGAGCCGGTCCTGCAGGGCCGCTCAGCTCAGTGGGGCCGATAGTGGACGCTAGGTCGCCGTGCGCCTTGTCTCCTCGCGCAGTGACGATGCTGCCCAGGACCCTGACAGTCAGGGGGCACGGGCAGGGCTGCGAGGCCGAGCGAGGCTCGGAGAGGCGACCGAGGGAACGAGAAGGAAGCCCTGGCAGCCGGCGCTGGTTGGCCCAGTTAAGAGACGGGCAGCTTTAGCCACTTGGGGAGGCCGGGGGAGGAGGAGGAGGAGGCGCGACTCGCATTGCTCGGCCCGCTGGCAGAAGCCCAGTGCGCAATGTTGTTTTCGCCTTCAGTGGCTGCCACCGCGTGTTTGAGTGTGCGGGTGTTGTTTAAACGAGTGCATGCGCCCTGCGGAGGGCCGTCAGGCTCCTCTCAAAATGGTCGGGACGTGTGCGGCGGCATATTTCGCTCTTTCTTGGGGGAGATGCTAGAGAACAGGGGGGAAAGAAAGAGATAAGCAGCCACAAAGGAGGGGGGAGCTTGGAGAGAGAGAAGGGGGGAGGGCATTAAGTCACTTCCGGGTGATGTGTGTGTGGTGCACGCGCGCTTCTCGCGCGCACACACACACTCACTCTGGCCCCCTCGCTTTCCCCAGGGCCTCCCCACTAGGAAGGCTTTAGCTACGGCCCTGCTCTGGTCCAGGGGTGGCCAAACTGTGGCTCGGGAGCCACATGTGACTCTTTCACACATATTGTGTGGCTCCTGGCAGGACAGCTGGGGAAGCAAAGGGAAGGCATGCCTCCTCAATTGGACTTCCCTTCCCCAGCCAGTGTTCCCCTCCCTGAGTAGGCTTAAGGTGTGTGTGGGGGGGGGGGAAGCAGAAAAGAAAGAAACTTTAAATGCATTCTCAAAGCCTCTGGCCAGCTTGGAGAAGGCATTTCTTTCTTTAAATACCTTCTCCAAGTCAAGCCAGCCGGGGGGGGGGGCTTGCAGGATTCATTTAAAGTGAAAGTTGCTTTCTTTCCACCTCTCCTGCCCTCCCCCATCTATTCTCTTTCTCTCTCTCTCTTTCCGCCTCTTTCATTCTTTCTTTCCACCTCTCTCTCTCTCTCTTTCTTAGACAAATAAATATCATTAGCAAACAAATACATATCATTGGGCAAATAAATATCATGATCAATATCTGTTTTTACCCCTTTTGTTTTTATTTCTGGCAGTCTCATTTAGTACTACTAAAAAGCAAATTCACATATTCTTTTCCAATAAAAATGTGTGTGTGATATTTGTTCATGTCTTGCAACTCTCAAACATTTCACTTTTATTCCATGTGGCTCTTACATTGATTTATTTATTATTTTCAATTTGTATCCCACCCTGCCAGTGCAGACTGGCTCAAGGCAGCTTACAGAGGTTAAAATACAATAAAATACAATAAAAATTTAAATAAGAACAATTAGATAAAGTGCTAGTGTAAACTGAAGGCGGGAGTTTCTGTAAATGGTCTGATGGAGAGGCCATATCTGGCGTTGTTATATAGGGCTGTGGTATATTCAGTTTGCAATGGTCAGTGGCAGCTCCAAATCAAAGGCCTGGTGAAAGAGCTCCATTTTACAGGCCCTGCAGAACTGTAAAAGGTCCCACAGGGCCCTGATGTCCTCCGGGAGCTCGTTTCACCAGTGTGGAGATGCCACCGAGAAAGCCCTTGCCCTCATAATGGCCAGTCTGGTGTCTTTCATCTTTTGGGCGAAAGCAAATTGGGCCACCCCTTCTCTGGTCATTGTTCTTAAACCTGATAACTGACCTGGAGTTGCTGAATGATTGCATATTTGAAGATAAAACTCCCAGCTACAGAGATCCATCAATGTGGAATTGTTTGGTCTGGGGAGGGGAAAGGCAGTCATGTTGGGATTTTCTTTTTCTTTTTTTTTGTGCCCCCTGTAGGGGATTTTTTTTATATGCATTTTCTATACACTATAAAAACTACAACAAAAATCAAGGCAGGGAACTACATACTATGGGTGAAAGTAAAGAAAACCCACTAAAAACCCAAGAGATGGTGGTCATGCAAACTGCTTAACAAATTTAGCTTATAGCACATAATTCAATTCAATTTCCTTGAATGTGGTCATCTGACAATCAATTTATACTAATAATATGACTTTAAACACCTCTATTTCTGACTTCTAAAAAAGCAATATAAGACTTATAACAATACTTTTTAAGAGCTTTCAGAGTGTGATAACATCTTATTTTTTATACTTTGGCTTTCTCAAATGATAGCTTGTCTTCAGGGCAGCTGCCCCTAATTCAGAGTCCTCATCCTCGTCTGAAGTTGCCGCTTCCCCTTCTTCTTTGCTGCCTTTGGTGCTGCATTCTTTCTCAGCTTCAACCTCTCCTGATGGACGACTATGTAGATGCAGAAATTCTTGTGCCTTTTCAACAGAGTCAAATTTTTGTGAAGATTGCACATTCAGGTACTAACCATCTGTAGGGGATTTTTTCTTTTGTAAAAATATCACCAAGTCTCTGTACTTCCTCCTCTTCCTTCTTATTTCAAATGGGATGTCCTTTAACACGGGATCTTATCTTGCAATATGTTTCTTAGGTGCTTTTGTAAGGGGTTTATATCATGATGCTGCAAGGATTCAACAGTGTAGAAATGTTTGTTTTAAAGGGAAGCACTTTGCAGTCAGTTCGGGCTTTTAAATATTTAAATGTGATGGGAAGGCCACAGACACATGCAACCTGGGTTACGCCAGCTACACTGGCTCCCAGTGGAATACTGTGTCAGGTTCAAGGTTTTGGTCTTGACCTTCAAGGCCTTGAGTGGTCTGGGACCTGTGTATCTTCAGGACTGCCTCCTCTGATATGTCCCCAGGATAGCATTATGCTCCACGCAGAACAATCTACTGGTGGTCCCTGGCCCCAAAGATATCCTGCTGTCCTTGACAGCCCTGGATCCGACCTCTGCCAAATACCAGGCCCTGCAGGACTTAATGCAATTCCACAAGGCCTGTAAGGCAGAGATGTTCTGCCGGGCCTTTGGTTGACAACAGCAATGGTTTCCATCATGGCTGGCAGTTACACAACTTCCCATTTCCCACACCATGGCTGGCACCCTCCCTTTTCACTCTATCACTTTGCGTCGGCTCCCCTCTTGCCCTGCGTGCAAGACAGCAACACAGTCCAAAGTGGGGTTATGAAGAAAATTTCAGATGCCATTTGAAATTAATTGATTGTTGTTTTTATTGATTTTAACTTTGTCATACATTTTTTGTTGTACATTGTCTGAGCCTGTGTATACAGGGATTGGGTGATTTATAAATCCAAAATAGAAATAGAAATAATAAAGAACTATGTGGTGGTCCACAGGAATAAGAACTTTTTGGTGGTCCCTGGCCTGAGAGAGATCCAGCTGTCCTCAGCTAGGGTCAGGGGGTTTTGAGCCCTGGCCTCTGTCTGGTGGAACTCTCTGCCAGAGAATATTCATGCCCTGTGGGATTTACTATCTTTCTGCAGGGCATGCAAGGCAGAGATGTCCAACCAGACATTTGGCTGAGGACTGTGACAGGACAGTATAAAATCTGGCACTTTCACACCCACCCACCCTCTGCAACCCCCTTCCCCCCTAGGCGGCATGAGGGAATTAAAATCTCTCTTCCACCATCTTGGGAAGTGTATTGTTTTATTTGCTAATATACTATAGGTATTTTAATGTTGGTTTTAACTTGGTTTAACTCTCCCCATATGAGCCCTGTAGAACATTGTATTCTACAAACTAGCATCTCCTGGTAGTCCCTGGCCCTAGGGATGTCCAACTTGCCTGGTGGAATGAGCTACCTTATTAAATCAGGGCCTGCAGGACCTGTTACAGTTTCTCAGGGCCTGTAAGATGGGGCTTTTCTGCGAGGCCTTTAGTTGTAACGATGGGCATTCTACCTCATTCTAGACCCCCCTCCAGTGACCGCAGATCTTAGAAGCCAACTAGAACCACAGCATCACAGGAATTAATGTATTTTAAGGCATGTTGTTGTTTTAGAGTGTTGTGATTTTATTGGATTTTTTGAAATATGCTTTTATTGTAAATCTGCACTAGCTGAGGATCTATATGTTTGGAACCCACCCTGAGCCTACAATGTGGGGAGGGTGGGATATAAGCCTAATGAAATAAATAAATAAATATTGTTTATTGTATTTACACTGTTGTAAGCCGCCCTGAGCCCTACTTGCAGGGAAGGGTGGCCTGATAAATCTACTTTAATAAATAAAATAATTTGTATAGTTAAATTTTCAGATGCTATTTACACATAGGGAGATATATTGCCATCAATTATATTTTAACAGTACATATATTGTAACACTAAATATTCAAAAGGAAAAGCATAGAACATGCACATTTTAATGTATTGAAATTTGCTGAAACAGCTGAGTTAAGAATTTAAGTAGAAGAATTTGTACTCACAGGTGAACTCTTAAAAAAACCCCAGGATTACAGGTTCATGCTTCTGCAGTCAGGAATAAGAAATAACATGACAGGAGAGACTTACCAGCCCCCTTACCTCATAGAGAAAAATGTTACAACAAGACTGTTCTTCTACAGTCATAACAGCTGCTGCATGTTTGATACAAGATAGCACGCATGCATGGTATAAGCCCCATGTATGTATGATAAATGTGCTTATTGTGTGTGTAGAAATTTGACAGTCCTGGCATGAGCAGAACTCCATATGTGTACTGAAACAGGTGAACTGTGGGATTTTGTATTACAGTTTTTTTCCTGTGTGTATGTTCTGTAAACTTGCAAAATCTATAACACTCTGTAATACTTTGATTGATTAAGCCTGCTCTGTGTGATAAAAGAATGTCAACTTACTAGAAATCTTTAAATTTCCAGCAGATATTTTTGAAAAATAAATGAAGTATTTTGCTTTGGTTCTCTGACACAGATAAGAGAAAAGAGGAAAGGAAGAAAATATCTTCTGGTCTTTCTGACTCTGATAGCAGTGCACTAGAATTTTCATTAGTGCTTGTAAATCTTTTTGGAACTGTCTGATTTTATTTACAGTACTGCAGGCATGACACAAATGTATCAGCCAATGTGTGTGTTTTCTTTGAACAAAACAGAAGGGAGTATTATTGGCAATACTACTTTCTATTCTCAAAGAAACCTAGACTACATATTCCTCTCTTGTACTTTGTACTGTTAATGGAGATCTTGTTGGTGTGATTTATATTTTACCCAGTGAATGATCTTC